CATAGTAGAAAGTCATAGTTCATGTATGTCAGTTTTTTAAAGAAGGGACAAATAGTGGATATGCGTTTTTACCCATCATCCCATTCTTATGTCCCAGTGAGTACCTGGCTTGATGGGCCAAACATAGTGCCTGTATGAAAAAGAACGTGGCATCAGGATTAAAGCAATGGTCCTCAAACTTTAGTGTGCATCACATTCACCTGCTAAAACTTAGATTGGTTGGCCTCACCCCATTTTCTAGGTCTGGATGGTCATTTCTTACAAGTTCCCAGGTGGTGGTCAAGATGCTGGCGTGGGAACTGACTATGTTTTGAGGATCACTGGTCTAAGGGATGAATATGAGATCAAAGTCAAGAGATGGAGCTCTGCCTCCAGATTCATCATCTCTTGAGTCAAAGCCACCATTGCCTTCGCATAGTGGATATATAAGCCAATAAACTAACCTTGACATGGTAAAGACTGTTCTAGGCTATTTAAATATTTCCTGTTTATCATCAGCAACCCTATGAAGCAATTGACATTCACTCCATTTTACAAAAGAGTAGACTGAGTCTCAATGAGGTGAAGTACTACAACTAAGTTTTGAATCTGATCTGTGCTTTTATCCATCTTCCCATATAATTAATGCAACTTAAAGTTGGATGTGTTTCCAAGACCAGGCTTCTGTGAATTTGGTCATAATCTCTTCCATAGATAATTACTGAAAAGTCTACCCCAGGAGTTAGACTTCTGACACACAGATGGGAAGAGTTTGGTTGGCTCAGCATTTTTAAAAATTTTGAGTGTCTAACTTCATGTGCTTCCTAGCATATATATGTTCTTATCTCTTAATGTCTTATACCAAACCTCTTCAAGCTTCTGCTTAATCCCTAACTCAGTCAAGGCCTGAGGCTCTGCAGCTGTGTAGTCTCTGACTCAGCCAACTAGAGCTCTAGAACAGGAATTATTTAAATAGCCTACCCAGGGATTAGGTTGCCACAGTGGCCCACATTCAGTGTAAATCAGTTTAAACTGATAATTCTATGTCTTGGCTGCCAGCTAACAACCCTTTTGCTACCAAGTTGATTTTGACTCATAGCAACCCCATGTGTTTCAGTAAAATAACTCCATAGGGTTTTCAGTGACGTGTTAAGTGCTATAGAGTCGGTTCTGACTCAGGAACCCTCTCTCCATAGGGTGTCCGAAGAGCAGCAGGTGGGTTTCAACTGACTATCTTGGGGTTCGCAGTCCAGTACTGATCCTACAGAAACAGATGGCCAGGTCTTTCAGTACCTGTGGGTGGGCTCAAACCACCAAATTTTCAATTAGTCGCTGAGCATAAACCATTTTCATCACCCAGGGATCAGAGTTCATAGAGCAGTTGTGAGGATTGTTGTAGTTAAATACCATGGAGTCGGTTCCGACTCATAGCGACCCTACACAGGGTTTCCAAGGCTGTAAATCTTTATGGGAGCAGACCGCCTCATCTTTCTCCCACGGAACCGCTGGTAGTTTCGAACTGCTGACCTTGAGGTTAGCAGCCCACTATGCTACTAGAGCTCCTTAGTTGTGAGGATTAGATATATGTAAAGTGCTTAGAACAGCAACTGGTATGTGGTGAGCACTTAACATTAGCTATTATTCTCCCCACCCCCCCACCCCGTCCCTCAGGAGTTAATATTCTGAAGTGTTTGCTAATGATGTGAGAGGGAAAAACAAAACACCCCATCATTTGTGAGGTTAGCTGGTGTGTATATGATTAAACCTGAATATCAACTTTTAGCAGTCTATAGTGACTCAGTAATTAATTGCTTGTCTTCCTAAGGGACTCTTATTAACATTTTGTCATTTAAGTTGATGTTCTACAGCAGAAGCAATGAATAGATTGCTCATTTGGAAACAGATTTTTCAAGCTCCCAGATGAGGCTGTTTGTTTTGGGCTTCCCCACTAAGGTAATAATGAACTTTGTTCCACCCAAGCCGAAAGGCACTCTCCAACCTTGGAAAGCTGCATTTCAAAGTGGGAGTGAAAAGTCCCCATTTGCTGCTTGGATTCTAGAATGCAGTCCTCTCCCATTTATTACTGCTAGGGACACAAGGAAACACTTATGGAAAAGGGACTCTGCTAAGCTTGAAATTTGAAACAATACAGCCGCTCTCTATCAAAAAACGTGGGAGGAACTCCAGAGAAAAGCGTCTTTGGCTTTTAGTCTCTTGTTGAATGATTCTAACACTCGACAGGCTGGGGCTTTCTGAAAACCTCCTGGCGCCATTCTTCACTTGCTGGGAATCTCCCACCTGGACCATAGCCAGCCTTGGGTTAGAGTTGGCCATTTAGGGTCCTGGTTAGGTCATGGCTTTTTGCAAATGACGATAACTGTCTTGGAAATGTTCCCATTCTGAGATAAGGAGTAGGGAAGCCTGCCAACATACTAGAAACTGATAGGGAGCAGCAAACGCAGGAAGCCGCCTTGCCAGTCCCAGGACCGTGCCCCAGGGAGAGGCAGAGCTAGGCCCTCCACAGCAGTGGCTGGGTCAGATTTTGTTAGCAGTGTCTACTTCTCTAGCACCTGAAGTCATCAGTGTGACACAAGATTTAGACTTTTCCTAAGTGGGGATGCTTGATCTCTGGGTATGCTGGGCTACTGTAGAGCACCGTGGTTTGGGGACACAAGGCTTTGGCGGAAAAACTGATTGCTACATCGGGTACATTTTGCAAATGAAACCAGAAACAGAAGTTAGAGCTGTTGAGAGCAGAAGTCTTAATCTAGTCGAAATCACTCATGTTTAGTGGGTTCATGACTTCCCCAAGGTTACTTTGAGTATCAGTGGCAAAGCAGGGGCTAGATTATGTCAGGTGTCCTTGGTGGTGGTGGTGATGTGCCGTGGCGTTGGTTCCGACTCATAGTGACCCTGTATAGAGTTTCCGAGACTGTAAATCCTTATGGGAGCAGAAAGCCTCATCTTTCTCCCATGGAACAGCTGGTAGTTTCGAACTGCTGACCTAAAGGTGTGCAGCCGGTTTTCGTAACCACTACACTACCAGAGCTCCTTATTACAGGCTAAAACTCTCCAGCTGCCTCTGCAGGACAGATGTGCTGGCAATGTCTCCACTATTGGAGACAGAGATAAAAATGACTCACGGAAGACACAATGAGCCGTCCATGGCCGAATTTCCACTTCAGAGCCCCCTGCACAAGGCTATGATGGTGCCAGACACCCTACAATTTCACCTCCTTCATATAAATGTCTTTGATAGACTCTCTCAGAAGCTGCAGGTGGTAAAGAGGTGGCAAAACCCAGGAATTTGTCTCATCAACCAGGGCAACAGAGGTACAGGGGCTGTAGCCTGATGAACAAAGCTGGGCAGGAAACAAAAGCAAATGTTGATGAAATCATCCTGTCACAAAACTTCAAATAAAATAAAGAACCTGAAATGTATGTTGAGATAAAGTTTGTTTTGTTTGTAAGCTGCAAAGGTATGTTTTTGCAAGTTAATATGTTTGGTATCGTGGCCAGGATAATAGCTGTGAACAGCGTTTTAATACATGGGGAATCTGCATAATGTCTACCCTCAATTCAGCAGCTTCCCCCCCTCCCCCCCGTCACCCCTCTCATCCTGTCCACCCCATAAACCAGCTGGTCACCCAGGACCAGACTTAGAATGTGAGATGGCAAAGGCTGTGTTCTACAGAGAGCATTCCTTTGTCTAATTCTGACACCATGAAAAAAAAACCGTTCTCATGCATTTCTGCTCTGACAGTACTAAGTGCAAGAGAGGATCTTGGATCAGGGCTTTTGTAACAAGAATAGGCATTACCTAAAAAACCCATGACTTAGACATAGAAGATTGTTGACTGTATATTAATCTATGAACCTAGCTCTTGGCAGATGCTCAAAGTGTCTGTTGTATACAGCAATGCTGGGAGACGGGGAACGTTGCCTGTGCTTTGTAGACAGTGTATTCAGACGTTTGGAGAATCATGTTTTCAGAGATGAGTATTTTTCCTGTGTACAGGGTCCTTTCCCCAGAGAACAGGGGTAAGTTCAAGTGTGCTGTCATTAGATTGTAAGTGGTGAAAGTCGATGGTGGTCACTGAACTTTAACAGACCCAGATACATGTAGGGGCTAGCAAGGTAACTAACATCCATGTTCAAAGTCACCTCCATCAGCTCCGGCTGATTGTCGTCTGTGGGAATGTGGGATCAGTGCTGCCAGTTTTGTTTTGTTTTGTTTTTTAATAGGCTAGAAAACACATTCATTTGTTATATCTCCTCATTTTTAAACATTGGCAACTGACTCTAAAATGTTAAAATATCAAAGCAACACATATTTTAAAAAAATAGATGTTGCATGACCTCTTAAGTGAATACGTTTTGTTAGTTTAATATCTCTTCTCCCTTAACTGAAAAATTCTAAAATATATACAACAGGCCAAGAATAAACATTCTATTTCGAAGGGGAAAAAATGCTGCAGTAAACAAATGTACCCTCGGGGTGAAGGACAGAAGATTAACTTTTCCTTTTCACAAATGACTCCCAGTGTTTCAGATTAGATCATAGTAGGGATGCAGGGGAACCTCTGAGCACTTCCTTCCCACCTTCTACATACTGATTGTGGCCAGAAAGGGCCACCCAGCTCTGCTTCCCTCCAGCCTCAGCATTTTCCATTCCCCACTGTGAGAGACAGACCTTTTTTTTTTTTTTTTTACAGATGGTCTCCAGTGAAAATTGTATCACTAAAAAGATGTATTTGATTTTTCATTTGGAAAGTTACATAAGAAGTGAAAATGAAGTGTGAGGAGTAAGGTAGCAGGTGTCTGAGCGACCTCCCAAAGCATCAATGCCTGAGATGCAGTCCCTGGACAGCCCCCAGATCCTCTGAAAGAAAGGTCTTCCCAGTACCCCAGGAAGCAGAGACCTTTCTGAAGTTTGGAAAATAATTTGACCTTTGGCATCATATCAGTACGGGTTAAAACAAAGCTTTACAGGTGGCTGGTTGTTGCGGGTGGTGGTGGGGGTTTGTTTTAGCCAACTAGATCCCATCGATGTATTTTTAAGGAAATGTAAACTGTTCACACATTCTCTTAAACATCACAGTGAAAAATAACAAGTACCCGTATGTGTGAGAGGGTAGGCAGAGAGCTCCACCTGCTCTGCCCTAGGCAAAGGCCCTTGGCACACTGGGGAAAATGCCAGCTTTGCTTCTGCATGGATACCCACGTAGTGCCAGCCCAGTGGAGCACCGGTGGGCCTGCAGGTAAAGCAGGGCAGGGAGAGGGTCTTTGAAATGCTTCTAGGAGCTCTGTCCAGCTGTCTTTGTCGTTGAGCCCAGGAGTGCTGTCAAAGCTACAAGGACACTGCTGAGATCATGGCTCTGCTGCCAGTTTCTAGGGAAGACTTGGCTTGGAGCATGGCTGCCTGGATTCGAAAATGGGTCCTTGACTCCATGGAGTAGTTTTTGTAGTTTTGCCTGGAAGAAAGCAGAGAATGGGACATGTGCAATGATGCCAGGAACTCCTTTTCCTTCCATCTGCGCTGTGGAAACCCACCAGCCAAGGAAGGCTCTTACAGATTCAGCCCCCATCCAAAGAACAGATGGGCCTGACAGTGGAAGGATTTCTAGAGAGGGTGTGTGACCCCTCAGCCCTCTGGAAACACTCTCCTTCCGTCCTGCTGAGGCTTCAAGCTTGAGGGGCTGCTTTAGGGAGTAGGTCTCTGGGCTAGAAAGCAGGCAATGTGCATCCTAACACCAGCCCTGCAGCTGGCGTGACCCTGGGCAAGTCACTTCCTCCCTATGGGATGTCAATTCCTCATCAGTAAATGGAAGGAAATGGCTGCACCCCACCGCTGGATTATCACATACCCCGCATCTGGACTGCTCTTGTAAGCAATCTCATTCACTGCTGCCTGGGCCCCTCTGCTGGCAGCCAGCTGGGGGATGCTCCTGAGTTCAGGAGGGAGCAGAGGGCAGGGTGAGGCAACCTAAGTCTTACTTGGCAGTTTCCAAGAGTTTGACGGCCTCTTCATTTCTGCTTTGTTCCATAAACAACAGGGCCAGCTCCAGCAGGGCATTTGGGATCAGGTAATGGTCATATTTAATCTTCTTTTCACTGCAGAACAAAGGAGGATATGGCTCATAGGCATGGAAATGTCCTTGAAGTGCCTCCTCACTCCAGAATGGAAGGACCCCACTGAGTGCTCAGGTGAGGCCTTCCTGATCGGAATTCCAACTTTGGGAGGTCCCACTACCTCGTCTGCAGCAGACCCTTCCAGTCCTCTGCATGTGGGACCCCAACTCCTGGACAACTATGGTTCTGTCATGTCCTTGGTCCACTCCCACCTTCACCCCTCATCCTCCACGCTGCCTGGAAACATTCTTTTAAAACCCAAATCTGTCAGGCACTCCCCTGCCCAAGTGGCCTTTCCTGGCTTTCTGTTTATAAGGACCAAACATCAGGGGTCTTCAGAGGCTAGCCTCCTTGCTTCATCTTCAGTTCTTCCCCTCTAACTTCAGATGGGAAAGACCTAATTCCTGTCACCCAGCCAGCTTTCTTTCCTGTGTCCCAGCATTTACACACACTCTGCCACTTAAAACTCTCTCTTTGCTTTCTCTTCTTGATTGCTGTTGTCAAGTAGGTTCTAACTCATAGCAACCTTGTATAGGGTTTTCCAATGAGCAGCTGGTGAGTTTGAACTGCCGACCTTGTGGTTCACAGTCCAATGCTGATCCTACAGTGCCACACTAGGAGTCCCAAAGTCAGCTGTCACCTCCAGGAAGCCTTTCCTGGCTTCTTCCATCAGGGTTAGTTTCCTCCACAGGGCCCCCACTGCCCTCTGCTTCCCTCTAGCACAGCTTCAACTGGCACAGTGGGCTAGGTGTTGGGCTGCTAACCACAAGCTCAGCAGTTCAAATCCACCAGCCGCTCAGGAGAAGATGAGGCTGTCTGCTCCCCTAAAGTCTCGGAAACCCTGAAAAGCAGTTCTTCTCTGTCCTATAGTGTCACTGGGAGGTGGCCTCATCTAGGTGGCAGTGGGTTTTAGAACTCTTCCTGTGTAACATTTGAGCTCCCCAAGGCCAGGGGCAGGGCCAAGGCCACTGCATTACAAACTCCAGGGGCAACCCCCTGGGAGCTGGGTCTGAACCCTATGTGCCCTCTGTGTCCAGCATGGGCACTCGTGCCTGTGTGGTGATCAGTGGAAGGCTAGGGTCGGGTTGGAGGTGGGTGTGGGGATGGAGATGCCCTCAGCATTCTACCAGAGAGCACTGGTGCCCACGCAGAGGCACTTACTTGGCAGGTATGCTCCTGAAATTTTCCTCGGCCTCCTGGATACGGTCCAAGTATTTCAGACACAGGCCTTTCAGCAGTCTCACCAGGCATTCGTCATCCACTGAGTACTCGTGCTCTGAAAATAGGGGTGGTGAGGGAAGAGGACAGGCTTCTTAATTCTTCACTTGTTCATTACTGCAGCAGTTGCTACACTGAACATGGCTTGGAGATGACTGAGAACACATCCAGGAAGGATGACAGAGTCTCAGACAATAGCAATGCAGTGAGCTCAGGACTAGCCAAGGGGAGCCCATGTCTTGTGGGAGTCCAGAGGAGGCCCTGGTCCTAACGGGGAGCTGACATTGAAGAAGAGGCTACAAAAACAGGGCAGGTAGAGAAGTAGGGGGTGGGTATTTTGGGCAGAGGGAACCTCAAACTGTTAAGAACTGAAGTCAGACCCAGCCTGGTAGCTTTAAAAGGCAGTCACCTGGGCCCTTCCGCAGTGTCTCCTCAGCCTGGGTAAGAACCTCGAGTATTCCCTCCGTGAGTTCTCGCTGTTTCCCAAGGACAGCATAGCCATTCCAGACATACATCATTTCCTAAGGGCAGGGAGTTAGTCAGGCCTAGGACTTCCCCATACAATGGGACTGTCTGCGAAGGCAGCTCTTTCTGTTTGAAGGTTATCCAAAGTCCACTCCCCCACCCACCCCTCCACCTCCACCTCCAGAGGGCAACAATTCCATCATCTCGCCCCTCCTCAGCCTCAAAGCCCCTCACAGAAGATTGGTATCACAGATGGTAAAGTGAAACCCTCTCAGGCCCCTGAGGCATGAAAATCTTGCCCCATTTTAGCTTTCAGCTGATCCCACAAGCCTAGCCTGAGGTACAAGGCTAGTCAAGACCCGCTACCCACCAGAGCTGGGATTGGCAATGAGACAGGGTTGGGAGAGAGGTAGCGTCGGGCCTTCCGGATAGCAAACTTCTCTGTGGGTAGGGACTTTCCAGCAATCTTGAGCTTCAGGCCTGGCACAGCTCTGTGACAGAGATGGGGAGGGTGGGCAGATGACAAGAGAAAGCAAGAGAGACCTAAGGGTGACCTGCCTTCCTGGCCTCTGCTTGACCCCTCTCTGAACCTTGTTTCCCCATCTATATGATGACAATATTGAACTCTAATGAACTTCCTAGTCAGAAACAGCTTGTGAGTATGGTCTTACTTCACAGTCTTGCACCAAGGCCTGATCACTTCCTGTGAGTAGGCAAGGGGAGCCTCCACACTAGGAGTAGGGGTAAGAACATACCCAAATGCACCCAGGCCTGTTCTGCCTTGTCTGTCCTCCATTCCAGTGGCCCCGGGGAGACCATCCCCAGAAAAGGGCTGGAACTTGTCTGATACTGCACAGATCAAACCCTTAATGAGCTGTGGCCTCCTCTGATGTTTCAAGTACAAGCAAAATGTGTGACCTCACCTGGGGTCTCACCCACCTGGCTCCATCACACCCTCCAATTTCTGTCACAGCCACTGGGTGTGCTGGGCCTCAGGCTTGAGCCACCCAGGCCCCAACCCACTTATTAACTGTGCAATCTCTCTGGGCCTCAGTTTTCTCATCTCTAAAATAGAGCTAATGATGCCAACCCTCACAGGTTTCTTGGAAGAGTTCTATGAGACGGAGACAGGGAGTTCCTGGCATATAGCCTGTAAACACTCCATTATTGTGACAAGAGCACCTCAGGAAGCTCAGGTTACATCACTTCTAAGTATGAGAAGTTGGGGCCAGCCTTCCCTATGACTAAAGGCTTCAGGCCCCTCCCTCAGTCGGCCAAGGCTGAGCAGTCTCTAGAAGATTCCTGCTCTGACAGTCTTCTCAGGAAGCAAATATGGTGGCACAGATGAGAATAAAAAGAGCCACCATTTAGTGGGCAGAGGACTAGACTCCAGATTCTATTCCAAGGTCTTTAGTTCATTCTCAAAACAAAGTCATTATTCCCATTGTATAGATGCAGAAACTGTCCAAAGTGATACAGCTAAGATGTGGCAGAGGTTGGATTTCATCCTGTTTCTTTGATCCCAACTTTTGGGCTTTCTACTGAGCATCTCTGAATTTGCTAGTTAACCCAGCAGAGTGGCAAAGGCCTTCCCCTTCTGGACTTCCGTGTCCACCCCTGTCCTTCTCTCTCCTACAGATGAAGAGACTCACTGGAGAGGATGCTGACAAAACCACTTTGTCAAAGAAACCTCAGAACAGAATCCAAGGGCTCTAATAACAGTAACAGCAGCAGTGTGGGATGGGAATGAACAATACTAGAGGAAGGTCGGGGGGAGTTTGGGGCCAGGGGAGATGGCTACCCACCACCCCCTCCCTGGTAGCCACAGCTCAGGATGTCCACAGCTGAGGTCTGCAAGTGGAGTATGATAGTGGAACCTACCTAAACAGCTCCACTTCATCATCCCCAAATGGCTTGTAGTCCTCCTCCCCAAACATGCTGAGGTAGGCGGCCTTCATGTAGATGTAGGTGGCCTGTGCGAGACACAGCAGCATCCAGGTGTGAGCAACCTTCCCTCCCTCCCATCACAGCCCTGGGCTGGCACAAGTGCCTCATCTAGACCTCACAATGGCCAGCACAGTTAGCTAACCTTTCCCCTGGATCTCAAGAGAGAACTCAAGGATGAAGAAGCTGAAGACACGTGAGACATTTTAAGTGGTGGGAACTGGGAGTTAAATACAGGATGGCCTTGTGTGAAAGCACCTGCCATCTCCACTCTGAAGAACAGGAGAGAAGGACCCAAGCAAGTTATAGAGGCAGAATGTGCTGAGGATGGAATGGAGACAGAGACAGGAAGAGTGCTCACAGCAGCAAGTGCTTCTGGGAAGAGGTAGCTTCAGAGTTGACCCTTGAAGGACAATGAGAAGATGCAGAGGAATCAGAGAAGAAGGTCTTCCCAGCAAGGGGGAAAGCTAGAGTAAAGTTGTGGATAGGATGTGTGTGGGAAGGGCGCAAATAGGTATCAAGACACATAGGAAGCTTGAGGTATGAGGTCAGAAAGGCCTGGCTCAGAATCCCATGGTACCTTACTGTGTATGCTGGGCATTTTATATGCATCTCCTTGCTTAATCCCAAAGATGACAGGAAACAATTGAGCCCTGTCTCTGCTCCTTGTGAGCTGGGAGTTGATCCCAGGTTTGTGTAGCTTCCAGCCAAGGAATTGACTACTGGGTCCACAGCCACTCCTGACAGGAAAGATGAGGCTATGCAAGAGGCACCCCCTCCAAGAGATTCATCTCTAAATGCTACCCCAGTCCCCAGGATCCCTTGATGGTACAAATGGTCAGCTGCTAGCCCACAGGCTGGTGGTCCTAGTCCTCAAAGAGATGGTGCAGAAGAAAGGTCTGATGATCTATTCTTGAAAAACCAGCCATTGAAAACCATGTGGAGCACAGCTGTACGCTGATACAAATGGGATTGCCAGGAGTTGGAATTCACCAGAGGGCAATTGGGCTTCCTCAGACTCGCCAGGAGCCTATCTCTGTGCTGCCCTCCAGTGGCCATGTCTTGAACCACAGCTGCTTTCTCCTGGTCTGCAGCCAAAAAACTACCTGCCAGAGGCCAAGAAACAAACAGAGACGGTGGAGGAGGGGAGGGAGCAGAGCATCCTGGAGTCTAGTCTAGAAGGTGGAAAGCAGTCTTATCAGGCAGCCCCAGCCCCAGGTCTCCTCCCAGTTCCCTTTACAAAATGAGGAATGGCTGGTCTGTGGAGTGCGGTGGGGAGAATCTCCCTTCACCAAAACCTGTTCCCCATCCCATCTTCATCCTCCCCACAGCCCTGGAAGAATCCTGTTGTCACCCTTGCCTTCCTGCTTCCCTACCCCAACACTGAGTGTCTACATCCTGATGACTCGCCCTCCTCTCTAGTTCTGGAATCCCACTGCCCGCACCCCAATTATCGCAGCAGCTGCTCCACATTGCTACTGCCTTGGTCCATGATGCCATCACCTCTCCCGGTGGTAGTCTAACAGGTCTCCCCGCTCCCACTCCCACCTGCAAGCCCATTCTCACGGAAGCTCTCATCTTGTTTAAGGCACACCATGTCAATCTCTTCTCAAAATCTTCTGATGATACACCATCACACTGAGGATACAACCCAAGCTTCCTGCTGTGGCCTGCGAGGTCCTGCCCATTCTTCTCTCCAGCTTCCTCTCTGACCATTGTCCCTCACTCATGACACTCCAGTCACACAGGCGTGCGTGCTGTTCCCGGGACACCGGCCCCAATCTACTGTCTCATCTGCCTGGACCACTCTTCTTTAGATAGCCAAGTGGCTAACTCTTCACGTCATCCTGGTACCTTCTCAGACACGCCTCCCCTACCTGCTCCCATCACGTGTCACATCCTTACTTTTCACTTGGAAGAGCCTGTCATTATATGATCCTGTACATCTAGCTATTTAGGTGCTTCCCATTACATTCCCTGGCCTAGAACAGTACCTGAAATATGGTGTGTCCAGTCACATAGGCATAAGTTCTATACCACCAACCTGAACCACACATGTTCAAGGACTTCTCACTGTCAGAGTAAAGCTGTAGCAGCCACTTGGGGGCCCTCCATGCCCTCTTTAGACTCTTTACTGACTCACCTCCACCATTTACTCCCCAAACTCCACCCAGGCCTTTTCTGCACTACTCCCTTGACCTGGGATGCTATTGTCCCTTTTCTGCCTGGCTCAGACTTTCCAGACCCAAACTCCCTCTAAAAGATTTTCCCAGGGGCCCCCAGACAGGTTGCTCTCTACTGAGCTACCAGGAGTTCAGATGAGTGCAGGGGCCTAGAGCTGTGAGACCCACAGACATCCTAGAGATCCAAGGGTGCCATGGGAGCCACCTCCCCTGATGGGAGTTCTGTTTCCACTGGGCTATTTAGCCTTGTCCCACCAATATTCATTTTTCTATATTAATCTGCCAGGATCTGAGCTAAGACAGACAGCTGTAGCTCTGAGGAGGAAGGGTCCCCCTGGGGTTCCTATGCTTTCCATTCCTTGACCCCAGTGATACAGAACCTCCTGGCAGCACCTGAGCCTCTGAGTGTTTGCTCTTGTTGCTCTCTCTGCTTGGAGTGACCCTTACTCCCTCCACTCCACCATGTAACTCCCCCTCCTCCAGGACTCAGCTCAACCATCTCCTCTTCCAGAAGCCTGCCTTACCCCCAGGACTGCCTCGGAGCTTCCCTTGCACTGACGACACTGTTGTCAGCAGCTGGTAACTGGCCATGTCAGTCCCAGGGCCCCTGCTGGAAGGTTACCACAGGGATGACTGCTAACAATCCAGGCAGAGGGTGACACCGTCAGAGTGCGGCGCATATGGCAGTAACCACAGGCTCGACTCTCTCTCTACAGGTTGGTGGACGCTGCAGACAAGTGCTGGAGTGTAGCCATGAAAGAGACTCCCAAACGTGGATTGCTACAACACTTAATTTCTCAGAAAATCCTGAATGTTGTGGACAGAGAGGACTATCTCCCTTCCCCTCCCCCACCCCCTAAGTCACATACATAGTGAGCTGGAACTCACAGCCAAGTCCTCATATCCAACAACTAGCAGGCCTGGCCCTCCCACTGCCCCTCACAGCAGCTGGTAGGCCACCCAGGCCTCCTCTGGCCCATGTATGTGGACCCAGCTGCCCACCTCACTCCACAGTAAGCCTTCCATAAGCCTCTTTAGGCTCAGAAGATTCCCTGGGGCTTTGTTCGTGTTGGGAGGCTGGCCCACAAAGGCTGGGCCTGAAGAAACACCTTCAACTGCTAGCAGAGTGATCTCAGGGCAAGTGGGGCTGCCTTGGGAGGGCTTAAGGAAAAGGGAAAAGGCTGAGGCCTTTGAATCACACAGAACCTGTCTTTAAATCCAACTTCCGTGTGGTCTAGGAAGCCACATAGCCATTCCTAGGCTTAGTGTTCCTCATGTGCCCACCTGGCTGAGTGTGGTGTGGAGGAACGGCAAGTGTGAGGCACACAGGAGGAACTCATTAAAAGACTGCTCCCTACCCTGAGACTAGAAGAGCTTGGAGGGCCCACGTACCTCTACCAACTGCTTTGAAAGGGATCACATAACAAAGTCCTGGATAGGGTGGGAGAAAAATGTGGAACAAAATTCAAAGATGAAAAAGACCAGGCGTACTAGTCTGGTAACAATTGGTGGAACTCTTAAGACCATGACCCTTAGTCACCCTTGTTGTTTCTGTGAAGCGCCGTGGAGTTGGTTCCAACTTGTAGCGACCCTGCATAGAGTCTCTAAGGAGCGGCTGGTGGGTTTGAACCACCAACCTTGCAGTCCAAGCTGACCTTGTTGATCCCACAGCACTATAGATCTGGAAATGAACTCACCTCCTTGGCTCAATTTTCAGTCAAGCTAACACTAGTGAGGCCTGCATACCTTAGAATAATCAACCATTTGAAATTTTTTTTAAAAAAGGAAGCATGTACCGAAGGACAGAGTTCAGAAGGGTTAGGAAAGAATGAGGAGTGGAAACAGGAAACACAGGAAGTGGGATAAGTGATATTACATTGTGGAGATAGCAGTCAGTGAGAAGAAACAAAATGTGCGTGAACTGTTGAATGTAAAACTGATGATCTGCTCTGTAAACCTTCACCCAATTCACCTTAAAAAAATTTTTTTAAAAATATAAAGTGAGAGAGGTTAAAAAAAAAGATGAAGAACAACAACAAAAAAAACTGCTCCCTGCTCCCTTACCCATCCTCTCCCATCCTAGACCCAGAGAATTCCCCTTCAACTTGATTCCCAGCCAGGGGTCCTGAAAAGGGATTCTGTGCAGAGGTGGGGGTGGGATAAGGAAGAAGACTAGATACAGATGACAAACAGGACCCTAGACACATATCTGCTCAGGTCAGTGCAAATGACTACATGCAGTGCTGTGTGGAGAAGGCATCAAAGGTAGCCAGGCTCATGGGAAAGAGCTCCAAGATTGATTCTCAATGTCTGTTGTGGGCAAGGGATAAAGTAACTGAGACACATCTGCTATGTATTAGGCCGGCACCGGATTAGATGACTTCTGATGTCTATTATCCTAAGACTCTGGATTATCATTATTTTTCTGTGCTATCATTATTATGGTATGTTGCTGGTATGGGGGCTGTCAAGTCAATTCTGACTCAAAGCCACCGCATGTGACAAAGTAGAGGGTTTTCTAGGCAGAAATCAATAAGGAAGCAGATTGCTAGATCTTTCTTTGAAGATTGGCTGTCAACTTTTAGGTTATTAGCAGCCGAGTGTTTAACCAGGACTCCTAACTATGATATAAACCAAACCAAAACTGTTGTCATTGAGTTCATTCCAACTCTTAACGACGCTGTAGGGCAGAATTGCCCCATATGGTTTCCATTTTATAATTTTTAGTGATGCAGATTGCCACATCTTCCTCCCGTGGAGAGGCTAGTGGGCTCAAACCAATGACTTTCCAGTTAGCAGCTGAGCGCTTTACCACTGTACCACCAAGACTCCTTTAGTTATGGTAGAACGACTCCTATTTATTGATTCAACATTGAGCTTGTGAAGTTCTAAGTTTTCATCTATGCTGGGTATCTATTTTGTTTTCTGGCTATGTGGCATCTCTGTGTGGCACTGTAGGATTAGCACTGGACTACAAACCACAAGGTCGACAGTTCAAACCCATCAGCTGCTCCTCAGAAACCCTAAATAGGGTTGCTATGAGTCGGAACCAAGTTGACGGCAATTAACAACAACAACTACAAATACACACACAGAAGTCCTGTTGTAGTGCTGTAGGATAAGCACCGAACTGCTAAACACAAGGTCAGCAGTTCAAACCCATTAGCTGTTCCTCAGAAACCCTATACAGGGTCACCATGAGTTAGAACCAACTCAACAGCACTTAACAACAACAACAAATATAGACACATACTTTTTTTGGTTACATCACTTCATTTTTCTTCTTTACTCTCAGTCACAAAGAATGTTATCGCCCTCGAGGTTTCCAGGCAGACCTCTGAGGCTCAATCCTGGGACTTTGGTTAAAACCTGCTTATAAAGATGTCACCAAGGAAAGCAAGGCCACAGATGGAAAGGCCAAGGCCAGGTGACGTCATTGGAATTTCTGGATCCAATGAGCCTTTTGTGTTTTAAAACTTCACAGTCCTACAGTGGTTACTAGATACACTTACATTTTAATCAATTGATTTAAATGCAGTTACTTTAAGGGAATTTACATTAAAAATTCAGTTTCTCCTTTGCATTAGCCACATTTCAAGTGCTCTTTGTGCAAATATGGCTAGTGGCCGCCCATATTGGATGATAAAAACAGAACATTTCCATCATAACAGAAAGTTCTGCTGGCCAGCACTAGCCTAGGCATGTGAGCCGTGTGTCTGACTGACACATAGTAGTTCTAAACTTTCTCTGCTCCTCAGCGTCTTCAGCACCTTCCAGCCCTGAGTCCTGTTAGAATTTTTGGTTCTGTTTCAATTCCAGCTGACCCCTATGTTCAGTTAGAGCCTTGGACCTTGATCTGGGGACCTGTGGTCAGTCCAGGTCAGTCCAGGCCCCCAGTGCCCCCCCAACATGTGATGTTGGCCCACCTTGGACCAGGAGTTCTCCTTGCTGAGCAGGTCGGCATAGAAGTAGGCCATCTTCCACTGACCCTTGTAGGTGAAGCACCACATCAGCTCCCAGTAGCACATGTGGTGGAATTGTTTCCAGTGTTGCTGGGCCTCACAGCACTCCTCAAACCGCCGGATAGCCTGCAGGCACAACTGCTCAACTCCTTGGTGGGTGCCCCCCTGGCCTCTTCCCATAGCAGGCTTCTCCAGAGCATGGTGGTCCAGCCCTGTGCCAGGCTCACATGGGGGTAGAAGACCCAGGAGATCTGGCCTCCAGCACTGGTTCTGCACCCTAAGTTGTACGTGACCTTGGGTAATAATACTCCCCTTCTCTGGTACTATGGTTTCAGTCACAAAACATGGATAAAATGGAGGGATAGCAGGTAGTGGAAAATATCAATATTATAATGATATAATAATGTTTGCACCTCAGAATAAACTCTAAGGATTCCAGTAACTTCCATGAAGCTGCCTGGGTTTGGGGCATTTGTTCTACCTGAAGAATCACAGCTAGGGCCAGATAGACACCCCAGAATGGGGAGACATTATAGAATCTGTCCTGGACCTTGGCTTAGTGCTGGGGTCTCTTCCAGGATCATGACCCTCCCCATCTCAAACACCTTCTTTGGCTCCCTACCACCTGTGAAATCCACACTCCTCATCCAGGCTTTCAAGGTCTCCCAGCTTGGGCCCCATCCTCACCACTCTACTGACCAGGTCACTGAGTCCTAACAGAAAGGGTCTTATCCCACCTCTTGGCCTTATTCCAGCACCTCCCTCTGTTAGGAGTACTTTTTATCCCTCCATCTCCCTACCAAAATCCTAGTCTCTTCTCAGACTGCCTCACTTGGAAGGGCCTCTCTACCCCTGCTCTCTCACTGGCTGTCCCTTGGGCTCTCTTTCCAGCTTGCTCAGTCCCTGAGGTATGCCTGCATGTGTCTCACTTCCCAACAGCCTAGACTCTACCATCTGAGTCCCCAGAGCTCCCACCACTTACTGCATCAATGTTGCCTTTAATGGCTTCAATCCGCCCTGCGAAGAACAAGAAGATGGCGCCCTGCAAGGATATGATGTGGGTGGGTCATGTGAATCAGTGTGGGTCCCAGGGGACTTGTCCAGCAGGGATGGGGCTCACCTTAGGATAGCGCTTCAGGTAAGGCTTCAAGAGCTTCTCTGCCTCCTCAATGTTGACATTTCCTGTACCTGCAGGAGTGGGGAATGGGAGGGGGACACAGCATAGGTCCTTGATCCTCCCAGCCTCCATTTTCCCCTCTGTGAACTGGGAATAATAAGACTTTCTACCTCCAGGGCAACGTGAGAAGTAAATAAGATAGTGCAGCTATCATCCTGATGTATCCCAGGAGCCCTTGCTACATCCATAACCACAAGGCGCTGCCTACAGCAGCCTCAAAAGCACTAGAAAGCAGGCACAACCATCTCTATTTCACAAATGAGAAAACTGATCTGGAACCCCGTCATACCAGGTAAACAGGCCCCAGGACAGTTGAGCGTTTGTGCTGTCTCTGGTTTTAGAGCCACCCTTCAGCCCCTCATTGCTGCACCCCAGCTCTCAGAGCTGACTGACCAGGGGCCCAGCGGAGCTCCTACCGAGCACAAAGGTGAGGAAGGTGTGGTAGCAGAGGAGCAGCATGACGCAGAGCACTGCGCGGAAGCTGTGTTCCGACGCACCCTCCTCCAGCTGCAGCAGTCCGTAGTCCTGGGGGCAAAGGGACGAGGCTGAGGACACCCACCCAGGGGTCATAGAGGAGCAGCCATGGGGGCAGGGTGGGAGAACACTGGACCCAGTAACCAAAACCCAATTCCATGGCGTCGATGCTGACTCAATCATAAAGGACAGAGGAGAAGTGCTCCATAGGGTTTCTAAGGCTGAACAAAGCAGACGGCCACATGGTTCTCCAGCACTGCGGCTAGTGGGTTTGAACTGCCAACCTTTTGGTTCAGCTGAGTGCCATTAACCATTGCGCCACCACAGCTTCTTGCCCGTCTTCCTTTTCCTATGCCTGCTCCACCACTCTATGGATGGTCACTTAGCCCAGGGAGGAGTTGGTGGCCAGACAGCCACTTGTTTCCCTGCCTCCAGAGTATTTTATCTAAAACCCAAATCTCACCAGCCTGACTCCTGCTTCAAAAGCTACCCTGACTTCAGGACAAAAACAAAGGAGAGGAGGTGGAGGTCGTTCCCCTCCTCCCTCCTTCCCTGCCCTCTCCTCTTTGCCAAGTGGGCCACACTCTCCCACCTCTGGGAGTTCCCTCGTGCTGGTCCCTCCTGACATCTTCCAAAATCCTACTCATTTCCCAGGGGCTGTCTTAAGAAAACAAAACTAAAAAGAAACTTCTGAAGGTTCCTCTGGAGAGAAGCAACTTTGGCAGACCATGCAACCTGGCCAGGTTTCTTCAGATTGCATGGTCTTCATGTCATTTATTTTTATGATTACTTGCTTATCGTGCCAAATAAGATGGGCTTATCACATGCTTAAAGCAGTGGGCTTAAACTAATGATATTTCCTTTAAATTGAATAAAAATTATGAGTCATGTTAGAGGGAAAAACAGTATGTTAAGTAATAATACAGAAGTCTGTAGCAGTTTTGCCAAAAAAATAGAAGAAAAGAGGTAGGGCCTGGAAAATTGCAAGTCTGGGAAACATCCAGTCTTCTAACTTTACCAAGAAGAGGCCCAGGGGAAGGCAGGACTTGGTCAGGGTCACAGAGAAGGGGCTGAGACTGGACTGGCCCAGGTCGCCTGACTTCTAGAGCAATGCTGCTTGCCCTACACCAGTTCTCCTCCATTGGCAAAGGTTCTGATTCTCCCGTCTCCTCCACCCCCAGTCTGCACAGCCCAATGCTCAGTACGGACTGCCCTGCACATCTCTCAGATGATGTGGCAACACCAGAAAATGGGCCAGGGAAAGGGACACCTGTCAGATTCACAGACTGTGACTGCAACACTGCGTGGAGCTGCTCTTCCCAGCCACTCTTGCTTCAAGAGTCTCTCCACTCTGGCCCCATTTGACAGGAGAAGAAACAGGCCCGGAGAGATTAGGGCTTTGTCCAGGTTCACTTAGTGAGCAGAGCTGAGCCAAGACTGGCTCACAGGCCCCATGACACTTCCTATTCATTCAGGACACCCCAGTTCCAGTCTTGGGCTGAGAGGAGGCGGTGCTTACCTTATTTCCTGAAAATCCTACGAACTCCAGAAGCCGCAGGATCCTAGTAGGAAGCATGGACAGTGTCTACAGGAACAGAGGCAGGTGGGCATGAGATGGGGCAGGAGTTGGCCCTCTGGCTCTCCAAAGCCCCCAGAGTCCTGGGAGTAATTCTAGAGGACACAGGGCTTTCTGCCTTGCAAACTTCCCACTTCACATATGAGGAAACCAGAGGCCAGCACAGGGCGGACACCCCACCCCAAGACCTGCTGTTCTTTGAACAGGCTTCTTTTACATGGAGGTCAGTCAGAGAACCACCCCAACTCACACTTTGGAGAGGCCCGTGTTCACCTCGGGCCCCAAACCAAAACACCACTGCCATTAAGTAGATTCTGGCTCACAGTGACCCTTATAGGACAGAGGAGGCCTGCTCCCTAGCGTTTCGGAAGCTATAACTCATCATAGAAGCAGACAGCTTCATCTTTCTCCCTCAGAGTAACCAGTGGGTTGGAACCACTGACCAATGCTTAACCCACAATGCCACCAGGGTTTCTGTTCACCTAGGGCAAGGGTTCTAAGTCATCCAGGAGCAGCTCTTTCTCCCAAGAGCAGGTTGTTTCAATTTACCAACCTGACTTGGGAAGTAATGCATAGAACGGACTCTCTTGAGCTGACTCCAGCACACAAGGCTGGTTCGTTTCCGGGCCCGGTGCCCAGTGCCCAGTGCAGGGTCAGGCACAGGAGTCCTCAGCAGAGCGCACACGTGCTCAGCGCTGTTCACGCAGAAATGCGGGAGGAGGCACCACTCCTACTCACCAAGTTGAAGGCTCCCACACCGAGCTTCACTCCTCCTACAAAGTGCCTGTGGTTCTCTCCCTTGCAGTACTGCGAGGACTGGACCAGGCTGTCCAGCTCCCTGTGGACAGAAATGGTCCAAGTTCAGCTCCATCTCCCCAACTTACCCCAAAACCCAGCAGCGGGTCTGTACCCCTTTGGCACCAGGAAAGCTGACACTGAAGGATAGACACCAGTCCCACTTCCTACCGAGATGACATACTCCCTGGTCCTGAATTTCCAACACACCGCTGGACCCAAATCCAAGTACAGGATTCTGCTGCTGCTGCTGCTCTCACAAATGGTGGTCCTGTGTCTGCCCCCTAGCACACACACATGCACGCACACATGCACACATGCACACATATGCACTAAATTGTTCGTGCAGAATCTGTCTTATTTCCCCCAGCACAGAGTTGGACACATAGTATAAGAGCTAGAAGATGGAAGTACATAGAATTCCAGAAAATTGAGTTCCTGACTGTGCTGTCTCCAACCAGAACTCCCTAGCCCTTCACAGCAGCCGGTGAGGGAGCCCCATCACACCATGGCCGGTCCCACTCACTTATAGGTCTGGTAGCTGTTTCGGACTTTGATGCCGCCCTTGATGAAGCTCACCATGTTCTCATCCTACAGGAAGGAGACATGTTAAGAGCCAGGCCTGGGTGGGTAACCTAGGGTTGAGAAGGGTCAGACGAGTAGCTGGGTCCTGCCTGCCCTCCCTGTGCACAGTTCTGTGAGGCACCCTGTAGGGTCAGAGGTCAGCCAGATGAGGACTCACTACCTCTGGGATTTGAGATGAACTCTTATTTGCCAAAAACAAATTTTAAATGCCCACAGTTTGACCACAACCCATCTACCACCCCTGAACAATTTATACATAGCTGTGTTCTTGGAAAGGAGCCCTGTGGATTAGGTGTTGAATTGCTAACTTCAAGGCTGGCAGTTCAAACCCACCAGCCACTCCTCACGAGAAAGAAGAGACTGTCTGTTTCCATACAGATTTACAATCTTAGAAACCTTATTTAGGGTTGCTATGAATCAGAATCAACTCAGTGGTGGTAGGAATTTTTTTTTTTTTTTTTTTGGTTTGGAGGGGAGGCACAACTGAGCTAACAGGGAGGTGGGAAGGGCTAGCAGGGAGAAGGAATGCTCTTTTTGTGCTTTTTACAAAATGCAGGTATTTATCGGCTTGTAATTTAAAGCACCAATACCTACTGCCCAGCAGCCCCACTCCTGGGCATACACCCAAGAGGAACGGATGGGCATGGGCCATCAGAGCACCACCGTTCACAACAGCCAAGAACCAAAACAACCAAAATGGCCATCAACAGAATGCATACACAGTTGTGGCATATTCAGGAAAGGGAACAGTATGCAGCCACATCAGGCTGGGTGAAGAAAGCAAGTCCATGTGGCTTGATGCTGTATGGAGCTCAAAACCAACTAACCCTTAACATGAATAGGAAATACGAGGAAACCATTTTAAAAAAAAAAAGCATCACCGTTCCCATCAAGTAAATTCTGACTCGCAGATACCCTCCAAGGACAGAGTCCAACTGCCCCCTAGGGTTCCCAGGACTGTAAGTCTTTATGGAAGCAGACTGCCATATCTTTGTCCCACAGAGAAGCCAGTGATTTGAACTGCCAACCTTGAAGTTAGCAGCCCAATGCTTAACCCACTGCATTGCCCAGGCTCCTATAAAGCACCATGTTGCTGTTGTTAAGTGACACTGAGTCAGTTCTCATAGGAACCCTGTATAGGGTTTTCAAGGCTGGAAATCTTTGTGGAAACAGAAAGCCTCATTTTTCTCCTGTGGAGCGGCTGGTGGGCTTAAACCACCAACCTTGTGGTTCAAAGCCCAGTGCTTCTTATACAGAGCCACTGCACTCTTTAAAAGAAGTATTGTTGTTGTTAAGAGTCATCGAGTCAGTTCTGACTCTTAGCAACCCTGTTTAGGGTTTCCGAGGAGTGGCTGGTAGATTTGAACCGCCGACCTTGTAGTTTAAACAGACCTTTTGGTCTAGTGCATTATCCTGCAGTGGTGATAAACACAAAATCCAGGTAGTAGTTTCCTCAGTGGAGAGATGCAGGGGAGGATGTGGGGAGGAACCCAGAAGGTGAGAAAAGTTGCCCCAGTTTTCTATACTCCAGTTTGGTAGGACTTGTGGGACTTTGTTTGTTGTTTGTGATAACATAATGAAAAACAAAATACAATATCATTTATGGTGAAATTATTGTAATGAGTAGTAAACCAAAAATTAAGATTTATCCATATTCTTGAAGTCCAAAAAGGCCTTAATAAAAAAAAAAAAAAAAAGAGCTAACAAAAATAAAGCACATCCGCACACTAAAATTAATATTCACCTCTCCACCCAAAGGCACACACATCATAATCATGTGTTATAATTATAACCCAGACCATTTTGGTAAAATCATAATGTGTTGGTTCTCCTAATTCACCAAACTTCCTGTTGTGTAGTGAGGAGAGAAGGCATGGATTCTGAGCTTGCTAGACCTGGATTCAAATCCCAGCTCTGCCACTTGCTAACCACATGAACTAGGGAAAGTGAATCCTTCCCTGTGTAGCTCCCCTTTGTAGATCTGTGAGATGAAGATTAAAGAATATATGTAAACATAACTAATTGCAAATGTCACAACTGTAAAGGTAGAAGTTCTATAACAAAAAGGGACAGTAGTTAATCTTACAGTCCAGAAACAGAGGACCCTAGGACCATCAAGGGAGAAGAGCATGAGCAGAATGTGGGACCCTATCCAGAAAAGCAGCAACACCAGAGATGGAGGCAGAGATACAGACATGGAGAGCAGGAGACTCATGGAAAGAGAGGGACTGAGTGTTGGTGGCCAGGAGGTAGGCTTGCAGAATGTGCCCTTTGATTATTTAAATGATTATATAACTCCTAAGTGTTTTTGTGTACATCCCCACCAAAAAAACAACAGAAGGAACAGAAGCAAATACTGTTGAATGATGATGCACAGAGGGGATTGTAATCATTGCAATGAAACAAAATACGATAGTATGAGCGCAAAACTAATGTTCTCCCATGTAAACTGTCATTCAAGTCACAATAAAAACTTAAAGGAAAAAGAATATGTACAAACGTCTGTACAAACAAACAGGCATGTAGTTTAGCTGGAGTGTAGGTAAAAGCCTTATACAGCATAGGTGCTGCAATGTTGTCATATACATCAAGTGTAAAGCAGGCTTTGTGATGATGCCTAGACCTCCCATGCCACCCATAACGGGCAAAGTAGCAGTCAGGGTGGAAGCATTATCCTGGTGACATGTGAGCACACACATCACCTCCCTCTGAAGCCTGGCCCAGGGGCCATGGGGCTGAGCCTCGGTGCATGCCTGAACAATCAGGGCTGGATCACGGTTCCTAAAGACCCTTCGGGCTTGGACATGGTAATGATCTTCTGCAATGCACTGGAGGGTCCTTACCTGCAGGAAGGTCAGAGCAGCTCTCTGCAGCAGGCATTCTGCATAGCAGACTTCAGCGTGGATTTCCTCTGTGGGGAGAAAACCAAATCCCTGCAGCCTCTGGGATCTTGGCAGGAGTCTTAGACCAAATTCTTCCCATCTCCCTTCCCAACAGGCAAAGGGAGGCTAAAACAGCACACGGGCCACTCCACCCTGCCTCCCACACTCATCTCTACCCCATTTCCCACTTGTCTACTGTCTGACTCCCTTGCCCTGTTCTCTTGTCCATTAAGCATCTCTGTAGATGTTGTCCACCCAGAACCTCCAAGCAGTGCTGAGCAAGGAGGCAGCACGGAACTGAATGAGTGCAGGAAAAAGATGCTATTAGGCAAGCCCAAGGGCTGTGGGAATAAGGAAAGGAAACCCAACACAACCCGGAGAATCAGGAAACACTTCCAGAAGAAAGGACATCTGAGTTGGGTCATTTGAGGTGAAGAAGAAATGGAAGGAAGCAGAAAGCGTTTTGTTGGCCGAGGCCCAGGGAAGCCAAAGTGGTCAGATGTCTGGGGACAAATGAGTCACAGATGGTGGCTGAAATGGGGGTGAGGTGGGAAGGGATTCGGGGGGCAGGGGAAGATGAGGCTCAGGAGCTCAGTTGTAAAAGGCCTGGATCAGTGGGGGAGGATTACAGACTTGGACTTGTTGGGAGGCAGCAGAGAGCCACAGACAGGAGGAGGGAAGTGGCGCTGCCATCAGACACATTGTTTGCACTAATACCCTCAAGGGCCTTCAGGTGGGTACAGCTGTTTGTCCCTGCACTGAAGAGCCCCAAGTTGCTCATGGTTGACCACTACCTCCAGTGTTTCCTGCCACAGAAGCTCATGACACAAAGACGCCTTCTAGGCTATGGCAGCCGGGGCCATCTCTTCCACATGTGTCAGCTTCTAAAACCACATTCCTCTCGGGGACACGCAGGCTCACTCAGCTAAATACATTCGGAACACCTAACCGCACACACAATTCTGGTCAGCCCTGGACCGAGCAGGAAAGCACATGGACCTTGCAGCGGCTTTTCACCACCTCGACTCCCAGGTTTTCCGTGGTAATGTTTTCAGGTAAGTGATTCATCTGCCCTCAACACCTTCCCCTGAGAGCCACTCCTTGAGAAGACCAGCAGCTAGCCCAGGCCCCCTTAGAGTTGACTGGGAGAATCACTGCCCCTTCCAGCCCTCCCTGGGCCTGAAGCTGGCCTTCACAGATGCCACACCTTCCGTGAAATGGTCCATGGTGGTGCGGTGCACCAGGCTGCTGAAGGAATCTGTAACGGAGGATTTCTTCCGGTGCCTAGAGAAGGAAGAGGGCTCAGGTCATTCGATGAGGGGGAACCAAGTGCAAGGTCACCTCACTTTTGGGAGACTTTTTAGGGAGGTACTGCTAGCAGAAAGAAACAGGGTTTGGGACCAGACAAAGAATGTTTGGAATTCTGGCAAGCAAAAAAAGAAAGTTTACTTGATTTCTCTGAGCTTCAATTTCCTTATTGGTAAAATAGAGACAGTGAACACCTGTATCAGTCACAGGCTGCTTTATATAATCAGTCCCCCAGTCTGTTGGTGTCGTTGGCAGCTCCCTATTGGACCCACTTTTGTACTCCTCTCCTTGGTTCATGTCTCCTTGTGCCCTACCTGGCCTACCACCCCTGTCCATGCAGGTCTTGGTGCCTTTTCACCATGCAAGATTCTCACCTGCTCAGAACGCTTTTGACTCTGCACTAGCCAAAGTGCAGAGCAACCCAGACTCTAAGGCCCATGGTTCTGAGCCCTCTCCTGGCTCAGCGATGGGACTTTCCAGTCACAGTGCACTCCTGGTTCTCTCCCATCTTGTCTTTGCTGTTGGCTAGTCCATCCTCCGGACCCAGCTCAGGCATCACCTCCAGGAAGTTTTTCCTGAGAGCTACCCAGCATTGAGATGTCACTCTCTGTGCCTGTCTCCCTGACCAGGTGGTGAGAGTTCTAGGGTGGCCTGGGTCTGACGAATGCCTGCGTTGCCAATGTCCAACATCAGGCCTGACCAGAGCAGGTGTGGGTGTGTGCTGAATGAATTCTAACACTACCTGTCATGAGCACACAAGGTCTGTGAGTTCATTCATGCATGGTGCTAATATGTGCTGAGCACCAGAGATGTACCAGGTCCTGTGCAGGTGTCTTCATTAAGTCCCCGCAACAACCCTAAGGCATACATACGAGGGGGCTTCAAAAAGTTCATGGAAAAAATGGAATTGAAAGAGAATTCAAAAAAAGTGACAGAGTCAGAATTCATTTTCTTCCAGCCAGACCTGGCCCCTAGAAGCCAACAAGACTCTTGAGGAGGTGCTGACAGGCACGGTTTTTGCTCAGGTACGTATCCGTAGTCCAGAGGAGCAGCACGAATAGAGAGAGTTTAGGCTCTGGGGTATGCCGTGGTGACAGAAGGATGGCCCCACACCCCTCAATCACCCTCTCATGCCCCTGACCTCTGACACAAGGACTGTGCCTCCTTCATCATGTTGCCAGCAAGCAGGATGTCCTGAGGGTCAAAGGTCATCATGGCCTGCATCTCCAGGATGGTGGCATATGTCAGTGAGTGGTACATGCTGTCCTTGGTTCTGCAGAAGAGAAGGGGCATGAGGTGATCCTCAAATGCCTAGAATTCCAGATATAGCTGGCCCTATGCCACTCACCTGCCTTCCCTGCCCCCATTCTACAGATGAGCAAACTGAGGTCTGAGGGGAAAGGCCCAAGCTCTGACTCTTTCACTGACACTCAAAAGACCTCCACTCCCATTCCCAACTCCTCCTCTTCATGCTGAGCGGCCCTAAGTGACCTTCCCACCTGAGTCTCAGTTTCTCACCTGCTTGGTTCAGTGTGGGGAGGGGTGGCAACAAGAAGTCTACTATGAGATTGAAAAAGGGATCAGCAGTATGTGGGCCTGAGGCCACCCTTCCTAGTGCCCAGACCCTGACTCTTGCCTTCTGCCCCAACCTGTCCCAGGTTAATTGTCTCCACCCCCAAGCCCACTCCTGCTGGCAGGAGTTGCAGGGACAGCCTTCCCGCTGACTGGCTACTGCCTGCAACTTTCTCTCCCATTGTCCTCTGGTGAAACCCAACCAGGGCTTCCACATACCATGAGACAATGCCCAAACCCACTGCCTGGCACCTGAGGCTTTGCAGGTCTTGCCCCTTCTGCTCCAGGACCTGGTCATACTGAACGTGTGGTTCCCCAGGCTTTGGCTCATGTTATTACCATAGCTTGAAATGCCTTTCCCTTCAACATCTCTTCACAGGACAACTAATTCATTGAGGCTTTCAAATGCCTCAAAGTCCACTGGGAATCAAGAGTTCTCTCCTCTAGGATTATGTGTCTATAAATAACACAGGCATGTGACATGTTGTTGTTAAGTACCGTGGAGTTAGTTCCAACTCGTAGTGACCCTGCACAGGGTTTCTGAGGCTGTAAATCTTTACGGGTGTAGAAAGTCTCATCTTTCTCCCATGGAACGGCTGGTAGTTTTGAATTGCCAACCTTGAGGTTAGCAGCCCGATTCGTAACCACTATGCTACCAGAGCTCCTCATTGTCGGTTTCAACTCATAGCACCACAGAATGAAACGCTGCCCAGCCCTGCACCATCCTCACAATTGTTGTTAAGTCTGAGCCCATTGTTTTGCCATTATGTCAATCCATCTCAATCTGTCATCTTTCTCGCTGACCCTCCACTTTACAAAAGCATGATGTCCTTCTTCAGAGACTGCTCTCTCCTGACAAAGTCTCGCATCCTGGCTTCTAAGGAGCATTCTGGCTGCACTTCTTCCAAGACATATTTGTTAATATTTTGGCAGTCCATATTTAAATACATCTATTCTTCTACAGTCTTCCTTTTTCATTGTCCAACTTTCACATACATATAAAGTGACTGAAATTATAAATACTTGGTTCCGGCTCACTTTGGTCCTCAGACTGATACATTTGCGCTTTAACACTTTAAAGAGGTCTTGTGTCATAGATTTGATTAATGCAATATACATAATTTGATTTCTTGCCTGCTCCGTCCATGAGCGTTGATTGTGGATCCAAGCAAAATGAAGTCTTTGACAACTTGAATCTTTTCTCCATTTGTCATGATTATTATTTGCTGGACCAATAGTGAGAATTTTCACTTTCTTTACATTCCATACTGAAGACTGTGTAGTCTTTGATCTTCATCAGTAAATATTTCAAGTTGTCTTGGCTTCCAGCAAGCAAGGTTATATCATCTGCACTTTGCAGGTTGTTAGTCTTACTGCAATCCTGATGCCATGTTATTCTCCATATAATCTATATTCTTGGATTATTTGCTCAGCATACAGATTGAATAAGTATGGTGAAGGATATGGTGAACCCTGGCACACACCTTTTCAGATTTTAAACCATGTTCTGTTTGAATGACTGTCTCTTGGTTTATGTACAGTTTCCTCACGAGCACAATTAAGTATTCTGGAATACTCATTCTTTGCAATGTTGTTCATAGTGTGTTATGATCCACACACTGAATGACTTTGCATAGTCAATAAAGCACAAGTACACATCTTTCTGGTATACTCTGCTTTCAGTCAAGAGCTCTCTGACATCAGCAATGATATCCCTAGTTCCACAGTTTGAATTTATGGCAGTTCCCTGTCAACGTGCTGCTATAATCATTTTTAAATTATCTTCAGCAAAAAATTTACTTGCATGTGCTATTAATATCATTCAATGATTTCCACATTCTGTTGGTTCACGTCTCTTTGGAATGGACATAAATATGGATCTCTTCCAATAGGTTGACCAGGTAGTTGTCTTCCAAATTTCTTGGCATAGAGGAGTGATGCAGCCTCCAATGCTGCGTCAGTTTGTTCAAAGATTTCAATTTGTATTCTGTCAATTCCTGGAGCCATGTCTTTTTGCCAAAGCCTTCAGTACAATTTGGACTTCTACCTTCAGTACCAGCAGCTCTTGATCATATTCTATATCTTGAAATGGTTGAACGTTAACCATTTCTTTTTGGTGCAGTGACTCTGTATTCCTTCCATCTTCTTTTGATGCTTCCTGCATCATTCAATATTTTGCCCATGAAATCCTTCAATAATTGCATTCTGAGCCTTGAATTTTTTCTTCAGTTCTTTCAGCTTGAGAAATTCTGAGTGTTCTTCCCTAGGTTTTCCAACTCCAGGTCTTTGCCATTTCATTGTAATATTTAGTCTTTTCAGGCTGCCCTTTGAAAATATCTGTTCAGCTCTTTTACTTCATTTCTTACATTAGCTTTAGCTTCCCTATGCCCAAGAACAAGTTTCAGAGTCTTTTCTGACATCCATTTTAGTCTTTTCTTTCCTTTTTAATGACTTTTTGCTTTCTTCATGTATGATGTTCCTGATGTCAACAATTCTTCTGGTCTTTGGTAATTGGTATCTAATGCAACAAATCTGTTCTTGAGATGGTGTCCAAATTCAGGTGGGATATATTCAAGGTCATATTTTGGCTCTGGTGGACTTCTTTCAATTTTCTTCAGCTTCAGCCTGAACTTGAATATGAGTAAAGCCTGTCCCTGGTCTTGTTTTGGCTTATACTGAGCTTCTCCAACATCTCTTCCCACAGATATAGTCAATTTGATTTCTGTTTATTTCAGCTGATGAGGTCCATGTGTATAGTTGCCTTTTATGTGATTGAAAAAAAAAAAAGGTAATTACAATGAATAAGTTGTTGTTGTTGTTGTTGTTGTTATGTGCCATCGAGTCGGTTCCAACCCATAGTGACCCTGTATAGGGTTTCTGAGGGTGTAAATCTTTACGGGAGTAGAAAGCCTCATCTTTCTCCCACAGAGCAGCTGGTAGTTTTGAACCACTGACCTTAAGGTTCGCAGCCCGATTCGTAACCACTACGCTACCAGAGCTCCTTGAAAAATTCTATCATGTGTTCTCCAGCATCATTTCTATCACAAAGGCCATATTTTCCAATTACTGAGCCTTCCTCATCTTCATTTCCAACTTTCACATTCCAACCACCAGTTATCATCAGTGCATCTTGATTACACATTTGATCAATTTCAGACTGGAGAACTTGGTAGCATCCTTCAATTTCTCCATTACTGACTTTAGTGGTTGGTGCATAAATTTGAGTAACAGTGGCATTAACTGGTCTACCTTATAGGTGTATGGATATTATCCTATCACAGACAGCATTATACTTCAAGACGGATCTTGAGATTTTTTTTTGATGATGAATGTGATACAATTCTTCTTAAAACTGACATTTCCAGCAGAGTAAATGATATGATTGTCATATTCAACATGGCGAATATCTGTTCAAGGTTGTATTCTTTCACCATACTCATCCACCATACTCATCATACTTTGTATGATGAGCAAATAACCCCAGACACTGGATTATATGAAGAAGAACTATGGCATTAGGATTCAAAGAAGGCTCATTAACAACCTACCACACACAAATGATCCAACCTTGCTTTCTGAAAGCAATGAAGACTTAAAATTCTTACTGATGACAATCAAAGACCACATCAATGTAAAGAAAACAACAATCCTCATCACTGGACCAATAAATAGCATAATAGAGAAAAGACTGAAGTTGACAAAGAATTCATTTTGTTTGAATCCACCAACAGCACTAACGGAAGCAGCAGTCAAGAAATCAAATGATGCATTGCATCAGGCAAGAATCTGCTGCACAAAAAGCATGTGTGCTTTGTTCAAAAGCAAAGATGTCAGTTTAAGGACTAAAGTACACCTGGCTCAAGTCATGGTATTTCCAATAGCCTCATATGCACGTGAAAGTTGGACAATTAATAAGGAAGACTGTAGAAGAATTGATGTATTTGAATTATGGTGTTGGAGAAGAATATTAAAGGATCCATGGACTGCCAGAAGAACAAATATATCCGTGTTGGAAGAAGTACAACCAGAATGCTCCTTAGAAACCAAGATGGCCAGACTTTGCTTCTCATACTTTGGACATATTATCAGGAGGAGCCAGTCCCTTGTAAAGGACATCAGGCTTGGTAAAGTGGAGAGAAGTGAAAAACTGGGAGACCCACAGTGAGATGGATTTGCACAGTGGTAGCAGCAATGGGCTCAAGCGAAGCAGCAATTATGAGAATGGTGCAGGACAGGTCAGTGTTCCGTTCTGTTGTACATAGAGTCACTACGGATTGGAACCGACTCAAGGGCACCTAAAAACAACAACAGTTTCTAAGACATTGATCTTTCTGCATTTCATTTCATTTTTGAGTACTTCCAATTTTCCAAAGTTCATACTTCTTTCATCCCATGTTCCTATTATTAATGGCTGTTTTCAGCTGCTTCTTCTCATTTTAAGTTGTGTACCATCAACAAAGGAATGTCCCAAAAACTTACTTCATCCACATCATTATGGTCAACTCTACTTTGAGAAGAGCTCTAGTAGTTGTGCTGCTAATTTCAAGGTCAGTAGTTTCAATCTACTAGTCACTCTGAGGAAGAAAGATGAGGCTTTCTGTTCCCATAAAGAATTACAGTCTCAGAAACCCTATAGAGGGTTGCTATGAGGAAGACCGTACAAGAATTGATGCTTTTGAGTTATAGTGTTGGAGGAGAATA